AACCCAGGGTCCTTTTTTTTCCCTTCTTTTTTTTTTTTTTTTTCCTTTTTGTCTTTTTTACTGACTGGTAACGGGATCACAACCCTCGGTGTCGCGCCCGTACCGGGGACTGGCAACAGGATCGCAACCCTCGGTGTTGCGCCCGCACCTCGCTCAGCCAGTGAGCGGGAACCGGTCTCCACATGGGATCGGAACCCTCGGCAGGAGCGCCGCCATGCTCCCAAGCGGTGCACTCTCCAGTGCGCCACCGGGCCGGCCCTTGTATCACTTCTTAAAAGTGCATGTGACTATACAATCATTTCAAAATAAAAAAATTTTTAAATGAAAACAATATAACAAATGATTAGGTTGTAGAGATCACAAATATATATATAAAGGACATCTGTCATGTGAGTGGGAAAGTGTAGCCTGCATAAAATGTCCAACAACAGGAACAGATGTCTATAATTAATGGCAATGGCATGTAAAAACTATGTATAAGTTCGTAACCTCCAAAATCTGACCATGACGTTCTACAGATCATCCCTCAATTACAACCAAATCTACTTTCTTCTCTTCACTATTGAGCAGCAATTCAGCCTGATTCCAATTTTCTTAGTGAATTATGTGGGGTTTTTGAGCCACATTTCCACTGTGCTGTATAGAACTCTGTCATGTTTCCCACGCATATTTCATACTGGGTTACAGGACCTTAGAATATAGGAAGAAAAATATGTGAACCATGCATATGCAACCACATGCAAGAATCTTACCAGAACCGTGGTGTCTGGTGGACTCAAAGCCAAACCCCAACTGAAGATGTTCCTTGGAGTTTCTACGGAGGTCCAGTGAAGAGTCTGGTGTTTCAACTCCAGTGAGAGCAGAGGCAGTGTGTGGTACAGGTTAGGAGTCAGCGACTTTTCTGTAAAACGCTGAATAGAAAATATTTTAGGATTTATGGGCCATACAATTTCTGTCACAACTTCTTAACTCTGCCATTGTAGCACAAAAGCAGCCATTGATAACACATAAATGAATAAGTGTGGCTTTCTTCCAGTAAGATGTTATATATGGGCAGTGAAATTTGAGTTTTACGTAATTTTTACACGTTATAAAATATTATTATTCTTTAGATTTTTTCCAACTATTTAAAAAAATTTTTTTTAATTGTCTCACAGGTCATATAAAGACAGGTGGCAAACCAAATGGGCTTTCTGGTTGTAGTTTGTTGACCCTGATATAGGAAAAATAAACTGGATTTAGTGTCAGAAGCCCTGGGTTAACAGGCTTCACTTGTATAATGTGGGACATTGGGCATGTCAAATATGTTCAAATAAACTCTCAGGACATTGATTTACTAATCTATCAAAAGCATTGGATTAGATTAATCTTAAAAGCCCCTTCAACTCTAAAAACTCTATAGTGGCTTCTGTTTCCAGCCATGTAAGATGAACTTAAAAAGAAAAAAAAAAAAAGCCTCCCAATGCAAAACACATAAAAATGCTGGATAAAATAAGTATCTTTTTGGAAATTATTGCTGATCTGGCAAGAGTGTAGAAATTCCTCAGAGGCCAAAAATAATCAAAAAAGCACAAATCCAAGGAGCCCTCAAAAGGCCCTCAAGCTCATGGCTCTCCTGGGAGCCCCTGCCAATCTCCAGTACACTAGAAGTTCACGTGTAATGGGCCTCACGCAGAGGCAGAAATCAAGGTCAGTACTAGAGGGCAAGGCAAACATGAGACCTTCACATAAAGCAAGAACCCCAAAGTTCAGCACTCCATCAGCACTACTGTGAGCAGGGAAAATAACCCAAGCATCAGGAAACTAGCAATAGAAGGAAACTTCCTTACACTGATAAAGGGCATACATGAAAAACCTACAGCAAACATTGCACTTAACAACAGCACCTTAAATATTTTATCCTTAAGATCAGAAATAAGCCAAGAACGCTCATTCTCACCACCTCTATTTGACATTGTACTAGAGGTCCTACCCAGTGCAATATGCAAAAAAAGAGAAAGAGAAAGACCCATACAGGTTGGGAAGGAAGAGGTAAAACTGTCTCTCTTTTCAGATAAAATGATTACGTTAAAAAATCCTAAGAAATCTACAAAAGAAAAACTACCAGAACCAACAAGTGAATTTAGTGATTTCATAGTGTGCTGGTTATCAGTTTATTGTTGCTCATCTCCAAATTCATCTTTGTAGTCTGCTTTGTGAAAATAGATCTGGGCCTTATAAATATATATATTTTTATTTGTTTGTTTTCTCATAACAGTTGACACTGAAATTTTGTCAGTAAAGGGCTCTGGGGACCCTGCAGGAGGAAGAGCCATGCCTCCTGGTTGCAGTGTACTTGCTGGGTGGTTCCTGCAGGAGCACAGCCTCCTCGGTGCCAGGCTTGTGAAGCATGCCAGCTTCTCCAGCACCATCCTCCCCAGTGCACGGCGGCCAGCAGCTTCCTCTGGCATTCCTCCCCACCCTTCTTCTGTCACTTTTGAAGCAAAAGCCTCTAGCTTCTCCAGCACCTCAACAGTTTTATAATGAGTGCCAGTGAACAGCTTTCCTGGCACCCTAGAGGGCAGATTTCCAGCAAGCTCTGCCAGCACTGCACCTCAGCAGCTTCCCCACCACCCAGTGGCCACGGCTGTGTCCCGTCCAGCAAGATCCGGATCTCTGGCCCGGGAGGGAGAGGGTCTCTTCTTTGGGTGCTCTATCTGAAGCCTAGGAGTAGTGACATATCTTTTAGAATTTTATTTTTTACTAGCCAACTCCTCATTATTCTAATTTCTTGTTGTATGAGTCAGGGTTCTCCAGAGAGACAGGACCAACAGGATATGTCTATAAATATATGAGAGGGGGCTCATGAGAGGAATTGGCTCACATGATTATCAAGGCTGAGGAGTCCCATGATAGGCTATCTGCAAACTGGGCGCTGGGAGCTGGCTCTGTCCACATCTGAAGCTTCAGAACCAGGGCAGCCAGTGGTGCCACGGGTGTAAATCCTGGAACCCAAAAGCTGAAGAATCTCCAGTTTAGATGTCCACGGACAGGAGAGAAGAGTGTCCATAACTGCTGGGTCAAGCCCACTCATCAGCATTTCCAGGGTTTGATCTGGCTGACTGATTGTCCAGCTCTCTGGGAAATCCAGAGCATATGAGCACCAACACTCCAAATTCCTTCATTCCATACAATAGGCTGCTCCATTGTCCAGCTCTCTGGGCAATCCAGAGCATATGAGCACCAACACTCCAAATTCCTTCATTCCATACAATAGGCTGCTCCATTTGGGAAAACTGCATTAACAAATCCTATCTCTTCCTGGAAATTCCAGTGTGGGTACCCTTGGTGAGAAGGCTTCATGAAATTCTTACCAGAATAAAAGAAGCTTTGAATTGAGTCAAACCCACAGTAATTCCTAGCAAGCTTCAACAGGGAAACCCGTGCTTTCGGTGAGAGGGTGGTACCACATGTCTTCAAAATGAAACGTCTCTTGGGGACACACATGCTGCTCTCAGTGCATAAGCGTCCTGTTTGTCAGTTTTTGTCACACTTATGACTGACACCACATCCTTCAAAAGTACATCCCACTCAGATCTCGGGATAGTGCGAAGATCTCCACATCCTTGGTTTGTGTCTGGTTGCTGCCAGCAGGACCAAACCTTCAGCAGCTTCTTGGTCCCTTCGAAAACATGTTCGGCTTTCCTTACTGTGAGACCAGTGAACAACCAACAACCACAGAAAATCAACTAAATTAAATCTGTCTCCCATCGCTACTGCTGCGGATTGTTCCAGCTGTGCTACTGAATGAAGTTTAGGTTCCTTTTTTTGATATAATTTCATATTAACGTTTTTTAAAAAAGGATTAATAAAAATTTCCCAGATTTTTTGTGAGCAAAATTGAACGTGAGTCTGTTGGACATAGAGGCGGGTGCAGTTCAGTCTCCTGTGTCCATGGCTCCCGTTAGAGAGCAGAGCCAGGGCTCACTGACATCGCTGGCCATGCTGTGTAAGCCACTTCCGATCAAAACTCCAGCAAACTTTTTGTTTTTAGAAATCAACAAGCTACTTCTTAAATATATATGGACATGCAGAGGCCTAGAATAGCCAAAGCAATCTTAAAAAAATAGAACGAAGTCTTACACGACCTGAGTTCAAGACCTATGATAAAGCGATCTTATGATACAGTGATCAAGACAGGGCAATACTGGCACAAGAATTAGCAAAAAGATCAATGGAACAGAATAAGGAGCCCAGAAATAGATCCATGCTTGTATAGTCATTTGATTGTCAACAAAGGCATCAAAGTAATTCAATGGCGAAGGAAAGTCAATTCAATGAATTGTCCTGGAATACTGGAATTCATACAGAAAAAATAATAATAAACTTGGTTCCTATAGGACAATACCCAGAAATTAATTCAAGATGGATCAGAGATCTAATAAAAAGCTTAAACCACAAAGTTTTTAGGGAAAAAAAAGAGAGAATATCATCATGACTATAGGGGAGAGGCTAACGTTTCTTGGACAGGACTCTGAAAGTAATAATCATAAAAGAAAATATTGGTAAATCGACTATCAGAATTTAAAACTTTTACTCTTTAAAAGTCACAGTTAAGAAAACAAATAGGCAAGCCACAGACTGAGAGAAAACATTCACAAAACAAATATCTGACAAAGGGCTGGTATCCAGGATATATAAAATACTCCCGTAACTCAACTAAAAATAAACAACCCAACTTAAAATATGGGTAAGATTTGAACAGCTATTTCTTTATCTGCATGTGAGTACATTCACGAATGGCAACAAGCACACGAACAGTGCTTGATATCACGAGCATCAGGGAAGAGCAAGTGAAAGCCACAGTGAGATGCTGCTACGTGCTAAAATCAAAGAGCTAAAGCTTAAAAGATTGACAACACTAAATATTGGAGATGGTGTGGGGCAACGGGAACTCTTACATTGTTGGTGGGAATGTAAAATGATAAAACTTTGAAAAAATGCCTGGAAACTTCTTATATAACTAAACATACACCCATGCTGTGACTCAGCAATGAGAAATGAAAACATGTTCCTGCAAACACTCATGTAAGGACGTTCACAGCAGCTTTGTTCTTAACAGTCAAACCCTGATGTGCATTAGTAGGATGGATAAACAAACCATGGTTTATTCATATGACATAAAGCTATCCAGCATTAAAAATAAATGAACTACTGATCTACAGAATAGCATGGATGCATCTCAAAACCATTGTGCTAACGGAAAGAAACCTTGCACACAATATACGACTCCATCTGTACAAAATTCTATAAATCTTATCTATAATGGAGAAAATCAGAAGAGTTGTTACCTCTGAGAAGGTCAGTTCAAGAACAGACCAAAGAGAGCCCAAAGAAGCTTCCTCAGGTGATGGTGATGTTCTATCTCTTGATAAGGGTTTGCATTGCATAGGAGGATGCACGTGTCAAAATGTAAACCTAAGATTTGTGCATTTCCTTGTACCTAAAGTTTATAAGAAAAACTATAAATAAATATTGAACTCAAGTAAATAATATGCATGTAGATATGTGTCGGGGGAGGTGTACTGATGTCTTTCTTCACTTTGAAATGCATGGATAGGTGGAAAGATGCAAGTTAAAGCAAGTGTAGTAAACTGCTTATCATGAAACTTTGGCAGTGGGCATATGAATTTTCACTGTAAAATTATTTTAATTTTTCTGCATGCTTACAATTTTTCATAATAAGATATGGAGGGGAAAAAACGCTGAAAAACAAAAATACAAGAAAGTGTGATTTTGAGGTGGTAGAAATTTTCTTAAGACAAAAATGTGCAAAACATAGATACATTTTACTACATTAAAACAAGGAAACACTGGTCATCAAAAGACATTGTGAAGAAAGTACAGAGTGAAGATACAAAGAAAAA